GGAAGTACGGATTCAACGGATCGTTCTGCTTTGAAAGCAACAATATTGTCGTTTATAGCGAACTCGAGGTATAAACATAAAGATAGAAATTGTGGACACGGTAAGAGAGCAACGATGAAGGTACTAGAGGGTGTTAGGATGGATTGTACGTTCGGTAAATTCTACCTTTCCGAGCAATAGTGTTTTACGATGTTAATCTTAGAATGTGTAAGCTGTTGGAATGTTTAATTTTTCGTTTGATCCATTTGCAGATTAACTTATTTCGCATGTTATTGAATATGCGCACCGAGATTAAGGTATCAATGCCAAATTTACATTTTTCTGAATTAATTTGAAGAAGTACCGACTGGTTAATGGACAGGATATCTAATTCGATTATTTGTAAAATTATTTCTAATGTAACGGCCTGTACAAGTTACTTTATGAAAGAAACTAAAATTTCAGATTTTCTGGACACTTTTTAACTCTCACCTGTGTTTCCTAAGGTTAACCTCCCTTTTTACTAATTGTACGATAATAATTGTACAATAATGGCCTACTAATATGTAGATTTTAAGTGGGTAAAACACTCCATTAATTTTCCAAAAATTTATAATCTTCGAGCTACACCCTTCTTGCTACAGAGTCTTCAGTTGACCGAAGAAACCTCGAGAAATAAACGGAAAGACAGAAAGTGTGAACGTAGTAAGGGAGTAAAGAGGAAGATAAGAACGTTGAAGTGTCTCGCAAGAAGGGTAGGAATTTTTTGGCCGACTCCCACGGGCCGTCGTTTTCAACGATGAAATAAATCTTCCGGCTGAAGAACGACTGTCAGCCCTCGGTCTCCCTATGCTAGATCCGCGCCCGAGAAGACGTTACGCCCTCGATGATCGATCGACGTTTCGATTCTTCGCGAGGAAAACCGACGATCCGTTCCCTCTTCTTCTTCTTCTTCTTCTTCTACCACTCGTCTCCTTCCCCCTCTGTTCCTCCTGCTTTTGCCGTGGTGCTCGTGTGCGCGCCTCTGAATCAGCAAATCCTTTGATATCGTTGTGAGGCTGGCGGCAGCTGCCGTAGCCGATCCTCGCGCATTATTTCGTGCCCGGGGCCTGCGCAACGCCGGCGTGAATGCCTGCTATATACGAGCAGCATGCATGTAGACATCAGATACGCTCAGTATAATATAACTTTTGCCCGCTAAGATACTTGACGCCGCATACCTTCCGCGAGCAACGGATGCCCGGCGTGCCTGAGAACCGGCAAAAACATATCGGTGTCCCTCGAAAATATTATTTCAGACGGAGGAACCCGCGAGCCCTCGAAAAAGAGATCGTGACGGAGAGGAACGCTCGGGGACCGTCCTCCATTAGCCTCCGGAGTGTGAAGTGTTTTCCCAAGTGTAATTGAGATTAATTGCTACCTTCTTGATCGAATTATTCATTTTCTATGCTTACAGAGTGTGTCTTACATTCGATGCACAGGGAATTTCGTTTGTTCCTATGCAGCGTCGATTTACCGATAAAGGACACCGAGTTAATATATATTTTTTTCTTTAAGAAATAAGTAACCTAATTTTGTTCAAAAATTCTTTATTCTAATTTTTATATTTTGTCACCATAGAGACAAAGATGACACTTTCCTTATTTGGAAATAGGAAGATTAAGAATGCGGAGCATGATACATTTTTTTAATTGGAGGACACTTTTGACAGGGTCACTGTCAGTGCTAGAAACGTTTGTAGGATCAAGACATGACTTTCATAATTGAAACGGTTGATTGCTGAAAAATCTACATTAGAAGGTTTTCAGAAGGGATACAGAACAGCTGAAACGTCTCATAGGAGGAGATAATACCAGGATACGATTCGGTCGATTAGATCGTTTTATACGGCACCGACCTGCGACCCGAATCGCTCTGAAAGACTCTCGAGATACTTTCTAAACAAATAATTATCGCAGCGAAAGGCTACGTCACACCGCTAATCAATCGATCCGCGAATAATGCTGGTATGGCATTTAAGAGACCGTCTCGTAATCAGTTTTATATCGCAGATCCCTGTAATGAAAGATTATAGATAATGCGGGAAAATTCCGAAACTAGTTTAACCATCAATTTTTCATCTCCTACGAGCGTAGCGTAAATTCATTACGAATAACAATAGATAAACACTTGTCGTTAACCCTTTAACTACAGCACGCTTTAAGAGCAAACTGTGCTGTGAGAAAAATGTAAAATTTTGAAGAAAAAAAATGGAATTGAATAGCTCTGACACACAAAATTACCCTCGTGTCACAGGGTCACGATACCAAAAAAATTCGTAACGAATCCATGCACGAGCAACTAGCCCCAAAAACTCACGTCTGCGCAAGTGCGAGCAATCACAGCTCGAAACAAAGGGAGTTTTCCACGATTGGTCCGGTTGCCTATGTTCAGAACAGCGCTTCACCCTGCGGGCTACAGGCACGGACGCGTACGATACATCGTCGTCGAAAGTATCTTTTACAGCGCAGCACGAGCGGTGTACGGGTCCGTGAGCAGGCAGCACACTTCTCACGGATCCGAAGTAGTATACGTAGACAGTCGCCCCCGGTACGACCCCGGAACGTACGATTCGTATTGTGCGCGATCGCGGAACGAACGATCGCTACACGATCTCCCGCTGCTAGATCGCCAGATCGCCGATCCGCCGGTACAGCGATCTATTGATCGCGAACAACGCTCGGCACACACGGGGCACCGGCGGCTATCTTACGGCTGCATCGATATGACTACGTTTCCATCGATGCGGAAGTAACCGAGTCGAAAAACGCACACACGATGCACGCGCGTCGCCTCGCCTCGCCGCGCCTCGAGACGATCGAGGGGCCTCAAGACTATCGCGGCGGAGAGACCGCAGAGGAAACAAACGTAATTGGCATTCTCTCCTCGGATCAGGGAACGCTCGATCGGTCGTAACCAGCCGGTGCGATATGCCCGATGGAAATGAAATTTCGCCGATTAAAGTGGCCGCCTGCTGCTGTGTTCCTAAACGCAGGGAAAACATGAAACGTGCTTACACCGGTCTAATGATCGATTAAGTGGATTATGTCGGTTTGTGCGGAATACGTTGGTTGGATCAAGAAGGGAATCTATTAATTGAGGAATTTGTTCGTAAGGAAGCACCAAAGTCGACGACCCTTTAAGGAAATTGTTCCTTCTGATAGTTAGGGTTCTGTGTATCCTCGTTTGTGAGTACTCAGGTTCTTGATAAAGGTAGCGAAGTTTAGAGAGAACTGATAGTTTTTGGATGGATTCATTTATCTGTTTCAACAGTAGAGTTATTCTGTATAAAAAAGCGACCAATAGAAAATAGAGACCATATTTATGGTCTTGATTCACAATTGAGACAAATTCCGAGAACTGTAGTGATACTTAGAATCTCAACGATATATCCTCAATATCAAATACGCACCTAAACGAAAAAGGATCATCGAAATTCGTAAAGTGAGAGATTCAACTGAAACGAATTCGAATAATCTTCGAAAGCTTCAAAGATTTTCACTTAAGAATTCAAGGATACATCCTTCGGATACACCAAGGATCCAGGTATACACGAAGAAACCCACACCGAAGCAAGGATGCAGCTGAAGTTGTGAAGGATCGCGAAATTCAGCTCGCAGGCCGGTCACGTTTCCCAGTGAACGCAACCGGAATTTTTTCCCATTATCCTCGGTGTGTCTCGATCCAGACGAAATCGATCCTCGCCTCATTATCCTTTACGTAAGCATGCATCCAGGCATGCGGTATAATTAAAATTGGACATCGTGTGGGGAGTGGCGTATTACATCATATCTCAATCTCGATCATTTTCAACTGCAGAACGCTTTACATACATATCCAACCCGCTAGACTGGATAAACGATTTCACTGAATTATCCCTGGAATCTAACTTCATCAGCCTCGCCCTAATAATCTCGCTCTCAGCTTCTGAGGTTCGATTAAACGGGGGGGAAAAACACGGTGGAAGAAACGATCGGTCAAAGGTGTCGACGGGTAAAAAGGATGAGAAAAGGAGAAGGCACGACATCGCGGGAGGACCTGTTGACTTAGGCGAGGGGATAATACCAGGCGGAGAAAGGTCCTGACACAAAAGGAGGGTGGTGGATTCGTGCCAAGATCGTCTACTCCTTCCTCCATCTTCTTGTTCCGCCGCTTGCGTTTTCTTAAGTTCCTCTTTTCTCTTGGTTGGTTTCGTTGAAACGGTGCGCGGCGCGCGGCTGTTTGCCCCGGATAAACAGAGAGCGAAAGGATCGGCGTTGGTGAAAGAGCTGTGGTCTAATTGCAGAAGATTCCTGACGATCGCTTTTTCGAGACGTGCTCGGTATTGCTAGGAATTTGTTTGCCAAGTAACTTAACACACGGCTAAACATAGATCTCGAGTCTATTTTATACGTGACCGTTTTCTCCGTAGAATTGCCTTTATTTCGATCACGTTCGAATCGCTACAACTGCTCTGCATCTCGTTTTCCTACGGGGAAACTGCACGCGATAATTAGAGATTCCTATTAGCGCTATTCAAGATCACGGTTATCGTGAGATCATCTGCGTGTTTAATACCGAAAGGATTACATACATTGTAACATACTCAAAATTCAATTTACGTCCTGGCTGACGTAACTGGAATATCCCTTCTTTGTTCACTTTTTTCTCAGTGATGAATTCATCAGTTGCGTGCGAAGATGAAAAAGATAACAGTGACGTGAATAATTTCGCGCGCAACAACTATTAACAGAGCCTGTATGATAATAAATATCCCATTTCTAAATAGCATTACAGCTTCTTCTTCTTCTCCTTCTTCTGCTGCTGCTTCTTCTATCGTGAATAAAAAACGAAAAATGACCACGAAAGAGAAGAGGGCGAGCCTAAGGTTAATGAGTTTGCTACTGCCTGTCACGAATAAAGGTACACAGGCGAGGGTTCGGTGTTTCACCCGATGAAATAGCTACGTATAGAGCTCGTGGGTTATAGCAGCCGGCACATACGTGGTTTCCGGAATGCATCCCCATTGGTCGCGCACGAATTACCCGCTGGAAGGGGGCAAAGAGCAAACCGCTCGCCGGCAAGATGGCGCCTGTTCTAAATTCAAAACAAGACGCTGCTTAGCATATACATATCCCGGGCTCAGCCGCGGCCTGCACGCTATGACATTCGCAATTCAAATCCGTACATTTCTATTACCATTTTAATTCAAGGGCACTCGGTCGCGACGCGCGCATCAGCCCCAACCGGCCTCCCTATTGGAGGACCGACGTCTCCGGAATATTGGTGGAATTCTCGTCACTTCCGGTCGTTGAAATTGCAGTCAAAATATGGACAATTTTGGGATACTTTGGTAACCCCAAAGATGCAATATTTGGAAAAATCTTTATTCGGTAAATATGAATTTTGTTGATGAAACATTTGAAGGAAGATTAATTTGACTAATTTTCTAAACAATCTGATGTAGATGAAGAAAATAATGAAAATAAGCACGAAGGAGTTTAATTTAATATTTTGGTCACTTAACCCTTTCAATTATTTTTTTCAAGAATTTCATATTTATCTGATCATCGCCTCTGTGATGGATACTAAATTGAGATGAAATTTCATACGACTACCCAAGTGGAACGTACATATGTGATCTACTGGTCACGAAAGGGTTAACGCAAGGTATCACACTGTGAGAATAATTCTTTCAAGCAACAGACACCCTACTATGCAAAGTGAAATATAAGCTGGCAGTTATATTTGTTTAGAGCAAGTTTTACAGCTGAATCCTGTTATTACGGCGCAATTTTGACGGTAAGAGATTATACGGTAAAAGGAGAATTGACTCTGCTGCGGCAAAACGCAAATTAAACGTAGGTGGAACCGAATGGCGAACGATACTTCTCTCCTTCGTACCCCGAGGCTAATCCTATTTCGATCGTCTAAGACGAGAAAATGATAGAAATTGTTCAGGTTCACCAGCACAGTTTTATACATTCACCGGCCATATAAGTCGCGGTTTTATGGCTTTCCGTTTAGTGTCGATCAACCGAGATCTCCTCCATTATTCATCCGCTCGAAGTGAAGCGAAGTTCTCGTCGATTTGTTCTGCAATCACGGACTCGTGCTGGATCATCGTCCACAGTCTATCAGACATTCCGAAATCGTACCGCGCGTTTATCCAATTAAATACGCTTCTCGAATTAAAATCTCGGTGCCGCCCTTTCGAAGTTCAACTATCATTAGAACTCCTACAGCGATCATAACCTGGCACAGTTTTTCTCCTTTTTCCTCCTTTTTTCCTTTCTTCTCATATCTCTCTCTCTCTCTCTCTCTCTCTGGAGAAAACGTTCTCGACGGTTGGTTCTCCACCCGTGGTGCGTGGTGCAATCGAATCGTAACGCGTGTCACGCACCGTACAACCCTTTAATACCGCTCGTTATGAACCGTGGCTCACCCATTTCGCTCGATGGTATAATAAAACCGGAAATTTTATGAAGATAAGACGTTTAACGCGGCTCGAAACCACCGCGGACAATCTGTTTTACGTTCAACTTTTACCGGGGAAAATTGCCGCGTAATTCCCAATGGTGGAACCGAGAGCACGATCGGCTCGATCGTCGATAATCGTCTCGTTAGATCTGCCCTGAGAATGAAAACGCGCCGATCGAACATCTGGCGAAAAACCCCTTTGGACGCGGGGCCCCGGATTTGTATCGACGAAAACTGACTCGTTCCCGCGAATTTATGTGCGCCGTCAGATTAAGGGACGTCCCTTTTCTCCTCTTCTCTTCCTTTCTCGGGGGCGCCCGACCATTGTGCCACTTCCGTGTACTCGGTTACGCATAACGAGATCCTCAGGATTTCACGGGACCTCGACGACGACGTGTCGCTGTTCCGTATTAATGACACCGGCCAAAAAAGATTTTCCGAACAGATGTTCCTCGTGCCACTCCTTTCCAACGCTGAAAACGACCGCTTGCTTTCTTCATCTGATAATCTCTCCACTATCGATCACCTGACGTGTGATCATCGTTTTGTGTACAGCTTGTTATTCGTTTACCTTGTTGCAACTTTGTTATTGCGTTGATCGATGTAACACACGCAGGAATCACACGCAAACATCGCTGTATCATGTTAATTACATACTCGACGTACTCTTTCTTTTTTTTAGCACGATAATTAGCGAATCTCGCACGACACGTTTACTATCGTTTTAAAGAGCGTTTGTTATTGTCGTGGCGGCCACTTAAACGAGCGTAATTACCTTCTGTTCCGCCATGGGAGCGTACTGACGTAACCAGAGCGTGATTGACGCGGCCTCAAACGCGTCGACCGCGTGTTTTTCCGCGGTCACGATTTCCACGATTCCCAAGATCGCTTAGATACAGTTTCGATAGAGGAGGATTGTTCGAATTTTGTCCTGGGTGTGGTATCGGCGAGAGGAGAGAGAGAGAGAGAGAGAGAGAAGGACCGTTCGGTTAATTGCGGGCATTGAGGAAGCTCGAAGGGCACACGTTGCCCGCACGAGGGTTGATCGTCGCGATTAATCATGGCTGCCGGTCACAATCGGCCACAATCTATATCTCGCATGCACGCGGACCGACCTGAGCTTGCTCTTAAACCGTTTGGCCTCTTCGCTTATTAAAGACATTCAGGTCGGTACCAGTAGTCGACCCGGCGTCGATTCATAACAAGAAATTAACAAGCTCGTGATGAATGGCTGGCTCGATGCATCTGAACGGATATTCCGAACCGAGACTCGTATGTGTAAGCACACTTTGAGGAATTGAGGCAAATTTTTTTTAGAAAATATAGACAAATAGCAGGCAGTGTGTGATTTTTTGTAATTTTTCAAGGTAGCAAAAATGCTTTTTTAAATTACGTCTCGTAGATCGAAAAAATTCCGGTAACTCTAAAATCTCGAAAAAAATGACCTTAAGAAAGGTGTTCTATTAATCATAATACACTTTTCTACTGCTAAAAAGCGGCAACGATATTTCACGTCCAACAGACAAACGAATCACCCGCTATACTCGTATAAACAGTGTTCGAGAAAAATGATTACAACTTCTAAGAATATCCGTTACATTATTAATAACACCTCCGTTCGACGAATAATCAAACGCAACAGTACTCGCGATAAATCAAACATTGACACCGAACACTCCACCGTTCGGAAAGTAGCTCGCACTCCCGTACAATACAACAACAGCCTGACAAAAGATCGACACCCACGCAACCTTCGGTCCAACAGGTCCCGAAAAGTCGTTCTGGTAGACCCAGATAAATCGGGCCCCGTTAGGCGTCACGACCGATCGAGACGGCCATGCAGGGTGATAATTCATCGACACTAACCGAGGTGACGTTCTCGATTCGTCTTCTAGCGGTTTCCTTTCTTCAGATCCCGCGATCCAAGAAAGAAAGAGAGAAAGACAGAACACAGCGGCGACGGTAGACAATGGTCGAACCGAAAAGAGGAGGAGACACATTGAAAAATCTCGAGACGGAAGAAGAACGATCAAGGAGCACTCGAAGGTGCCACTCGGCGTATTCAGGGAAACCAAAACATCCATTCTCAGAGTGGCCCGGGGACAATGACGACCCCGTTGGCCCATGGTCGACAATAGAGTCAGCGCAGCGCCACTGAAAGAGAGATCTGTCGGGAGTATCGAGCGGAGAACGGTCCAGATCGAAGATAAATTTCGCATTTGTAAAAGATCGCGTGCAACGTGCTGCCGCAAAGTAAACGGAAGGAGGATCCACCGAAATCGTGCAGTCGTTGATTTTTCTACCCGAGCACAATGAAACACGACCGACGCTCCTTTTTACATGGGTAATTGTCGCGTTCGCTGGACAATCATCTCACGGCGCTGTGTCCATCGTTGGTCGTCTTTCACGCGGTCGGACAAACGAGGAACGAATAGAGAGGATCCAGTGGTAGACGAAGCATGAACCTCGAGTGGCGATACGTTTCTGCACCTGAGCTCGGGCTTGCAGGCTAGCCAGGGTAGCCGGGACAAAATATTATTTCGAGCGCGGAGGCATATAAGTACGAGCTGGTCGGAGCGTGTATTATCCGCGGCGCGATGTTGCGATAATATTTTCTCTGGAAATAAAGGCCACTTACGATGCACTTGCGCCGCGCCGTGTGTGGTCCGTGCATGTTGTAGATTCGCTGGGACGAAGAGAGAGATGGTCTGAGTAATCTTGATAATTAAAGGGTTTCTTGGTAGAATGTTGCAAGTGTGAAATTTTCAGAAACTTGGATGATAGCGTTACGATGTTGGAGATACCGTTGTGCGTAATTTAGGAACGGAAATGGTAAAATTGTGAAACTGCAGAAACTTCATTTTTCAGTGGGGAAGTAAAATTATCTTTGCGTTGATTTTTTAATATAAATCTACAATAGAAGGCGATTTATGGTGTTCTTTTGTCCCGAAGAATCTTGCAGTTTCGCAATTTAACCATTGGAACGACCGGTATCTGGTAATTATTGAAACGCGGTAGGTGTCGATTATTCCTCAATTTCTAGGTGTAACGATGACGCGTTACCATTGCACGTAACCGTGTTACACCATGACGCATACATAAATAACAAGAATAATTTCGATCTAATCTCGATCATCTGATGCCTCCCGGTTCAACCGGTTTTCCCTGAGTAATCCTACTAATCGTCTCATTGGAATTCACGTCTTCCATCTCAGATACGTTTAAGATTACACTACCATTATCCTCCAGCGGAGAGGAAAAAAAAAGAAAAAAGAAAAAAGAACAAATCGATTATCAAGAAGAAATGCAACGCTTCCAATAATCCCAAGTGGCGACTACGTAACGCAAATAGGAGAAGAGACGAGGTTAATGGGAGAACGCGCTCAGCCGAGGCGTGGAAAACCAGAAGAGCTAGAAAAGCGAGACGTTCGAAATGAGAAGAAAAAAAATTCCGTGGTTACAGGGGAATTCCCCACAGCTCATCGCTGGCGATTCTATCTGCGATGATCAGCGGTCCAATTACCGTCAGCTCGTTACGATTTTCACAGCGGCTAGGAGGCCG